CAATTCCCTCCCTCCCTCGAACCTGCCCTCCCCCGTTATTTACAAAGGTTTTGTTGGGAAACTCCATAATTGTTAACAAGTCTGCTTTTGAGCAAGTCCATAGCCAACTGTCCAGGATTTGAGTCCTATTCCATCCCTTACTAATTCTGCCACCTGTGCAAATTACTTACTCTCTCTTGCTTCAATTTCCCCATCAGGAAACTGTGAGGATTAAGAAAGATAAGAATCTCTCCACGGCTTAAACCCTCAGATAATACCTCTAAATAAATGTTTGTGGAGTAAATACTTAGTTAAAATAAGTTGTTGTTTTAATTTTATCTTTAATTGAGACTGCTAATTTAGAGCTGATCTTTTGAAAAAAAAGTCTCATTTATAATTAGGAGTGAGCAAATCAAATACAAAGTGATTCAATGCTTAGAATAGCATAAGAATGCCATACACATATATTGTAATACTTACTCAACTCTATGCATATTTAAGACACAAAGTTTCTGTAATTATTACAATATTAAAAACTTATAAGAAGCACAGGGTGATGTGACCTTATTCTAATTAACCCTGTAATGTTAGGGTTTCATATCTCTCACTGTTAGAAAATATTATACAGATTTCACCACAAACATCAAGGCCCAGGTGTCTTCTCTGGCACATTCTAATATTGACAATAATATTAGAACAAATTTGTCTAGCGCTTTTAATTTTGCAGAGAACTAACCAACCCTTCGCTTACTCTTCACAAAAGTAGTGGGTGGCAGAGATTTTTTAATAATGATTTTAAATTATTTATATGTTTTATACCATTACTATTTATATTTCTCAGATGAGAAAACTGACACCCAGAGACTTTAAGTAATTTGCCTCCCTTGAGTCACAATTTAGGATTTCAGAGCCCAGTGGCCTAAAATAGTGCCTAAGTCACAAATCAAAAACTTCTGCTAAACGTGTTCTTTATATTCCTTTGGAACAAATCAGGAGGCAAATTCCTCTTTCACAATGAGGAGACTCAGCAAGCTTCTGTTTATCGTTGTGCTAGATGGGCACTGCAGAGCCATGTAAATGAGGGCCATGTAAATAATGGTCTATGCAAATGGCACCTATGGATTTGCTCAGCATCCATCCTGCATGACCACTTTAAATAACTATGAAGCAACCACTTTTACTGATCCAGAGGCCTAAGTGAGAAGCAGCAAACAGTAGTAGAATTGACATTCTGATTTCCATTCCATTGTATGGTTTCACAGAAAAGAAAGTAAAAAGGAAGAAAAAAAAGATAAAATCAAACAAAAGTAACTTCAGAGGAAATCTGTCACTCAGGTTGAATTTCCTCTTACTTGAAATTCACCCCATCTATATTCAATTGAATAGAGTGACATTTGATTGAACTGACTGGGAAAGAAAGTGACAAGTTACATCCAGCTTCAGGCTCTCAAATTTGGTTTATTGTTTAGTGCAGCAACCCCTGAAATTAAATGAACACATACAGGAGATTCATCATAATGCTGTCTGTGGAATCCTGTTACAGAAAGACAGTGCTATTACAAAGTCCTCCCACAGTTAGACTCCCAAGATGGACTCAATATTCTGCAAAACTGCACATTGGTGAGACTGGAGCTTATTTTTTCCCCATTTTTCCACTCAAATTAGAAATCTGATAATTGGATTTTAAAAAGCTCCTTGGAAGCAATTATGTGTAATCCATTTTCCAGGATTCTTTCTCAGTAAACCTGTAAGAGACAAGAAGAAATATCCCCTACCTTCTCTTTCTCAACTGTCACGCAGTTCTCTTTGAAATTGGTTCCAATAATGAGTCTTTTAAAAGAGAAAACGGGCCATTTTAACTTTTAAAAACTAAATGGAAATCAGAAGGCAAGAAAGAAAGTCTCAAGTTTAGCCAGAGGTGAAATGGGGAAGGTCAAATGAGTTTCACATAGTATCATTAGAAATGCTATCAGAAATAATGAAGCCAACAAAAATCTTAAGTGTCTATTAGTGTTTAGGGATATCAGGCAATATACATTTGTAGTTGTCATAATGAAATTAAACATTAAACATTATCAGGCATCAATTCTGCAAGAGTTAGGGTAGAAGAAATTCTTACACACACACCCACATAAAAATAAAAAGCATTGAAAGTGAACAGTAAAGGTGACCAAATCTGAGGATATTTTCAGTAAAACACTGAAATGACTAATGGTGACAGAGCAATAGATTGTGTACTCCAGAACAAACAAATTTAAATTGTAATTTGAGTATTTTCTAATGCTTCAAGTAGAAAGGGAAATGTTTTCCATGAGAACTCACCAGCAAAGTAAGGTAGTATCTAGGTAATATCTTTCTGCCATTAAGCAGCAAGGAAATTATGAGAAGCCATTTAATCCTTCAGCTTGTTTAGCTGTGACAATTCGGATGCACAGTATAAGAGATTTAACCATCAGGGGGATAAAAGAGTAACATGACACTTTCTCTGTAAATCATAATCATGTTCCATTTGGCAAAATCCTTCCTAAACAGCTGATTTTCACCATTTCCAAGTAAGGAACAAATTAGGCAATCAACAAGAGACAAAAACTCAGTTACTACCAGGTGAGCCTATGTGTTGTATATTGAATCAGTGATTCATTTAAGAAGCAGTCTTGCCTGCCTGCTAAATCCCAAATCCTCTTACTCAGTGAGATTACTGACAGAAAAAGACAAGTCTGGGATTCCAAAAATTAGGTAAATAGCAAACAAATAAGTGATTACAGAGGATGCAATAGGAACATGGAGAAAGAACACTTAAGCCTATTTAAGGGGGCAAGAAGACTTGGCAGAGGCAGGTACTGGGAAGTAAAGCTAGGAAGTGTCTTTCCGTCCCATTCTTTTTCAATTTTCTTTTCTTTTTTTGTACTGGGGAAGTGAACCCAGGTCTTTCACACTGAGTCCCATCCCTGCCCTACAGTCAGCCCTTTTTTATTTCTTATGTTTATGCTGAGACAGGGTCTCAATATGTTACTAAGTTGCCTAGAATGGGCTAAGGAATTTGATCCTCCTATTTTAGCCTCCCAGAGCGCTCAACTCATGTAACTGAAAAAAAAGGGACTTGAAAATGTATTACAGCAATTCACTTGCAACTTTAAATCTGTGTAAAATGTTTTCAATTTGAACTGTAAAATATCAGTGTGGGTGCAGTTGTGTATGATTAAATATTTAATACTACTTATCTTTTGACCTGAATTAAGTCCTTCTTGGTAGTCTGGAAGGCTATTTCAAAACTATTTTACCAATAAGTAGTAATCTTGTGTTCACATCCCAGTGTTCATGCCCTTAACTTTTTAAATAAACATACTAATTAGGAGACTGTGAAAGAGTTAATAGAGTCCAGCCTCAGCATGAATGTATTTGTAGGAGCAGAGTACATTCTCAGAACTATATATAAGGACTTAGTGTGGCAGGACCAGTAGTACAAGGGAACAGTGCATGAAGAAATATGCAGAGACACAGTACATAGGTTTGATATAAAGACAATGGGAGCCTGAAGAATTTTAAATTGATATGTACTAACATTACATTTGGGTAAAAACAAAACAAAACAAAACATGGCAAAGTTTGTTTTTGAGTGGACTAAGACTAACATGAAGCCCCTCGGGGTAATTTTTTTAAAATGGTCTAAATACCCCTCCCTTATTAGTACATGTTAGTGATGCATAATGAATACCTTAATTTGGGGGGAATTGGTACATATGCATATTTGCACCTTGATCATTTTTACTTCCCCTTCCTCTCTCCTCTCTTCCAACTCCCCTTTTCCAATCCCTAGGTCCCTTTAGACCCAATTCTACATCTTTTCTGTATGTAACTTTGCTGCACCTTTCCTCAAGAGTCTTTCCAATTCCACAATATCTTGCAACTTGAGTTAGTCAATAGAATGTTGCCAAACTAAGGACATACCATTCTGAGACTGGACCAGTTATATCATCTTTCAGAACCCTGCTTCCACTATGAGAATGAAACGAGTCAGTCTGCTGGAGGTCAAGGAACCATGTGTAAGCAACTTCAGGTGCTACAGCTAAGACCTTGCTAGACTAGCTTATAGTCAGACATCCAACACCTCTGAGAAAGTACAAACAAACAGTGCTGAGCCACAGTTACCAGCAGACACAGGACCGCAGCAAGCCAAGACCAGCTTAACATGCCAGCTCACTGGAAGACTTAGGAGCAATAATAGATGCTCACTGATGCCACTGTCTTTTAAAGTGGTGGCTAAACATCAGTGCAAAACTGATTGCACACTCCAATAAATGCATTATGAATATACACAAAGACAAAATTATCACTTTCAATTGAGGATCAAACATAAAACCTGGACATAGCACAAACTTTATTAAAGCTCTTCTGTGAAATAGACATTACTGGGGGTCACGATAATTGATATCTACCCTCCTCAAATGCTTCTCTTTGGATCAGTTTCTTCACTGTTCTTCACAATTGCCCCATCTTATTTTCAGCGAATTCTCTCTCTAGTGCTGTCCTGAAGCTTCAAGTGATTCATGGGATTTTCTGAAGATCCTTAGCAAAATTGATAAAATTCAGAGTATTGCCCCTCCCCAAAGAGACATTATTTGGAAAAAAAGGTAAAGTTTATTACCTATATTTTATTCATCGCATCTTACACAGAGGGAGCAGAGAGTAGATGTGCAAACAAATCTGTTAATAAATGAAAGGAAAATGAAAATAAAGTCTTTGTAAATAGAGAAGGGTGGAGGGGTTGAAGGGAGGGCAGGAGAATGGGGAAAAATAAGAATCAAGAAATATTATGTAAAGGTACAAATCTCCAATGATGAATGTCATTACATTGTATACCTAACATGTACCAATAAAATTAATTATAAAAAATAAATAAATAGCTTCCGTTTCCCGTCTGCTCACGGCACGGGTGTAAGGCACGGGTGTAAGGCACTTTGCATTATGGGAACTCCTGCCTTTCTTGCTCCCCGGCCATCTTGGTGGCTCCTTTTGGTTGGGGCCCATCCCACACCTGAGGCAGGAAGATGGTGGCCACAGAGAAGACGAAAAAATCTCTGGAATCCATCAACTCTAGACTCCAACTTGTTATGAAAAGTGGAAAGTACGTGCTGGGGTACAAGCAGACACTGAAGATGATCAGACAGGGGAAGGCAAAATTGGTCATCCTCGCCAACAACTGCCCAGCTTTGAGGAAATCTGAAATAGAGTACTATGCCATGTTGGCCAAAACTGCTGTCCATCACTACAGTGGCAATAATATCGAACTGGGCACAGCATGTGGAAAATACTACACAGTATGCACACTGGCGATCATTGATCCAGGTGATTCTGATATCATTAGAAGCATGCCAGAACAGACCGGTGAAAAATAAACCATGCAAAATTTTTCATTAATAAAACTTTCCAGAGCTTGTTTAATAAATAAATAAATAAATAAATAAATGGAGCTCCCTCCTTGATAAAACTGTTCTCCAATTTAAAATTATTTCTATTCCCTTTCTTCATCCCTAGATTCATAACATCCACCCCACCCCCCTTTTTTTTACTTGCCGTCTGAGTCTTCACAGCCTCACTATATTCCCTTTATTTACTACTATAGAGACTGAAATGCTGGCCCTGCCACTTACTATAATGTGGCATTGGGGAAATTACTTAACCTTTCTGTGCCCCAGTGTTCTTTTTACAAAATGATAACGAGAAAAATACATATTTCATATGAGCTATAAGTTTCTGAGATAGAACTCCTGGAGCAGACTAAGTACTCAACAAATGCTAGCCACTTTTTAAAAATCTTACCTATCTTCATGTAAAGATGATCCCAACTCTTCGTTTTCCTGCTTTCTTTGTCCAGACTGTAATGCATTGGTGGAAAGTAATACCTCTCCACCAATTAAATGCTTTGTCTTGTGTCTTTGTTGCCTTCAGAGCTGTCAGTATTTAAAAAGACCATAAGTCTACTTTTCTATTATTTGTTTCAAATATTTTCTGCTCTCTTTGGAGATTCCACACCCACACAGCAAATAAATATCATCTTCTAAAGACCTGAATATACCCTCTGGAAGCCCAGAGGCCTCCAGGAATACTTCCCTTGGCCTTACTTGTATATTCCTAATTTCATTCACCCTTGGCTATTTATTCTATGCCATACCCACATTCTAATCCAGGCCAATTAACAGAATCTCAGAAAGTAAAGTTAGGCAAAGACATTTTTAGGCTCCTTAAATTAAGTTGCAACTGGGATTAAGATCTGCTCTTCCATATTTTCCTGCTTGTTATAGCCAAGTTCATGGCTTCAAGACCTTTCTTCTAGATTATTTTAATCATCTTTAATATTTTTCCATGCCCACAGTATCATTACTTTAAGACTTTTAATGAGATTTTTGTTGGAATTTACAAAACACAGCTTTGGACGTACACTGTTCTGCACACATAACTTCTAGAATTAAGTTTAATTGCTTTGCATACCAGATAGGACCTTCCAGGAAAATATTTAAGGTATAGTTCATACCATTTAATAGCTTACAATATACTGAAGAAAAAAGCTGTGACAAATCAAGACAAATATGAAACAGTTATAAATCTGTGTACTCACTTTTTCATTGGTTGCCATAGTGCCATGAACATATAGGGGATTGAAAAAAATATCTGTAGAACTGATTTGAAAGGTCATTTTTAACAATACACTTCATCTAACCCCCAAATTCAATCTAGCCAAATATGTTTGTGCCTAGCAGGAATTCAACAATTGTCAGTTAAATGCCAGATTATTGTAATATCTACAATAAGTTTCAGTCTCACACAGTACAAGTCAAAGTAATGATGAAGAAATCTATAAGAAATCTGTGAATATATCTTCCTAAAGTATTCTACACATGAAACAGGAAAAAAGGAAAGAAAGTGAGGAAAAAAATCCCCTTACCTTGATAAAATATAGTAATGTTCTACCATAAATTTTCTATGTGGGTAAAAGAAGCAGAATCCCCCACCCCCAAGGATTCACTTCTCTAAGCAGTATCTAGTAACATTGGGAAGTGGGGGACTGGCACCAGAACTCATGCCTGAGGCCCAATTTAACTTCTAGTGATACCCATCTTTCACAATAATCAGGTGGAGTATGTTTTCCTTCATTACAGAGGGTTTAACTATTACCAAGAAGGGCTGGCATAACTACTGTCTCTTGTCTATCCATGGAGGAGTATGTTAGGAACTGCAAACTAGTGAGAGAAGAGCCCAAGGAAATAATGACCTTTGTTCTGGAGATTTGAAGAACTGGAAAACACTTGTGACTAGGTAATTAAAATCAGATATACATCATTTGGCCACAAGCCTACACATGCCCCACCAGTCTTACATAGGGGTCCTATATAAAACACCCATACAACAGTTTCCCAGCAGAGGGCCCATTAGGGGATGAATCATCACCATTTTCCAATCAACTAGTTTATCATAATAACTTTTTTTCTTTTTCTTTTTTCAGTTCTGAAAATTGATTTCATCCAGGACCTTTACATGAGCTACATCCCAAGCCAATTTTTTTTTTTTTTTTGAGACAGGGTCTGGCTGTGTTGCATAGAATGGACTGAAACTTGCGATCCTTCTGCATCAGTCTCCTGATTATCTGAGATTACTCACATGCACCATCACACTAGGCCTAATAAAGTTCTTAACTCTACCGTTTGACTTTCAACTAATTGGTTTCTTTGTGTGCCAAGCATGCAAGCCTTTTGTATGGTAACAATTCTAATTCTTCCAATTTAAATTAGTGAGTCAAAATGAGAAAGGGCTGAATACTACTTGATTTCTTTGCATATAGTGTTCTTGCAAATAGATGTGTCATCCATGAATATAGAAACTGGTCACAACTTTAAAGTTCAAATCTCAATAACTCAATGACTTACTGTGCTTTTAGATGATGTATTCTATCAAAAGTCACAATCCAATTGTATAGCACTGTGTAGTAAGGCAGAATTTGCTGAGGAAAATAAAGAACAGGAATGAACTCCTTTTTCAGTTTAACCTCTGGGTACAGATTCTCAGATGTCTTTCTACTGTTAAAACTGATACCAAATTTGAAATCAAATGTGGTACTGTCTCATGTTAAAATTGGAAGTTTCATTGTGTTAAGGTAACAAGGGTGTATAAAAATAAATTAAGTCTATAGCTATTCCAAAAGCAGAGATTTTCACAATAATTATGACAAATATTGTACTACCCCCCACAATATTTTTTACTGTAATCTGTGTTCCAAATTGTCCTTCTCTCTCTCTCTCTCTCTCTCTGTCTCTTTCACACACACACACACACACACACATGCACAGAGTTCATGTGAAAATCAGTGAAATCTGAATATGGTCTGTATTCAGTTTAAAGTATTGTACAAATGTCAATTTTCTGTTTTCAACAATGTATGTTGGTTTTCTAAGATGATATCACTAGGGAAAAAAGAGAAAAGAGTGCATACTAAAACCATCCACATTACTTTTTTAAGATTGTTATGAATCTTAAATACTTTCAAAATACAAAACATTTTCAAATAATTTAGACACAAAATCATATCCATAGTTTAGATTTTGATGCATATTTCAATTATAATGTATGTCGAAAAATAAACTGCATCCTTTAATAACTGTCATAATAAAATGAATTTTGCACTTGCAAACTTAATGTCAGTTGTATTCATAGGCAGGATGTGGGCAAGAAACACAAATGTAAATCTATCTTTTTATTGTTTTTTAGCAAAACAAATCAAATATGGAACCTTATGTAAATAGTATAATTGCCATTGATCTGTATTAAAAGAGGACTAAAGAATTTATGTAAATTTCTCTATGAATTCAGAGGTTTGCCTTCATAGTGACTGAAGTGCTCCAAAAACAAAATATAAGAAAATGGTTTCTCAGACAGAAAGATGGGGAAGGGAGGGGATGAGAGAGGGACACAAAAGATTAATGAAGATGTGTTGTATACAGGCACCGACTCCCAACGATGAGTGGAATCATCATGTACTGCACATATGAACCAACGAAGAGTGAATAAGAAGATTCCTCCTTCCAAAAAGAAGAAAGCAGATTTTCCAAATTGTACGTATTAAAGAGTTCATTTTATATCCCAACTTTATTTACCTTTTCTGAGTAGTCACAACATTAATCTACTGGGGATAATCTAGTTAGTGTATTTGAAATTCCATTTATTTTTTTCTATTGATATGCATGTATTACACTTGTATATAATACAGAATTTCCAGTGTTGTTTTAAAGGACAAAGTTTAAAAAATGAGAAGCATGATCTATAATTTCAAACAAATGTAGGACAAATTTACAATTTTCAAAATAATATAGTTTCCCACTTTGTTCCAAAGAAATGAATGAGATTCTAATTGATGCAGAAACTCCAGCACAACGGTTACTCCTTTCTTTATGATTACACAGTCTTGAACCATTGCAAAATCCACTCAAACCCATCTAATTAGTTTTATACATAATTAAAATGGAGGCAGAAAGTAATTTTATCCCACATACTTGTGGGATCTTAGTTCACTGTCAAAAGTACACTTAACAAATTAATTTTCAACAAATTCTACACTTTCATATGTTCTTTCTTGTAGAGTCTGGGTAATTATTGGTCTTTGAATATCATTACAAACAGTCCAAAGGTCTTTAGGACATGTGAGCCTCCACCACAGAAACCAACCTATGCCTAACTGGCTGTGTCAGTGAGTTCTAAAGATATAAGATATGTTCACACCTTCTCCAGCAAAATGAAATTGCCATAGGATAATTTCTGAAAAGTCTTCTGATTACTCTAAAGTCAGTAAAATATAGAATCCCTCCCTTCACATTCCTACAACTCATAAATTTACACAATTATTATTACAGAAGGGGATGTGGTTTCCATTCTTCTTTCCCCCCACATCACAAATGAACCAAAATAAATGTAGTATAAAATTATACATTCTGTGAGAACTTAGAAAAAAGTACATAAATGTTTAAGGCTTTTAAATACTTATAAGACGTTCCTGTAGAACCAAAAGCCACAAATATTAAAGCTATGAAAATGTGGACAAAATACTGGCCTAAGAAATTGTTTGAATGGAACAACTGTAAGCAAATATTTATAAATTTGTGACCAAGAAAAGTGAACAATTTATTCTATTAACAGACTCAACAAATATATAAGCATTCAAACAGTCATCAGGATCAAGCAAGAGATAAGTCTTTTAAAATTAAAAAGAAAGAGAAGATAGTTTAAAAAAATACCAGAATAAATCTAAGTGACTAACATTCAAGCTAAGAAATCAGAAACTCACATGCATCCCTGGCAATTTTAAACTGAAAACTATCTAATAACTTGACTGCTCCTCACTGCTGATTTCTGTGAAGGGGGAATGTTAATACACATAAAAAATATTTAAAAATAAGCTCACTTTACAAAAAACAAAGTGAAAGGGAGTGTTTTAGAGGTGCAAATTATTATATAATGAAAATGGTAATCCAGTTCTAACTAGTACCTATCTAACTGACAGAGAGCTGCAGTAGCATGTTAGCCTCAGGGAAACATGTCAGCTTGTTTATACATTCTTATATGATTGATGTATTCAGATTACTATTACTTGCCAACAATAATTATTATCAATGGATATATATTTCCATTCCTTTAATAAAATCAACTTTAAGGTGTCAAAACAGTAGGCTTTCAGAGCTCCAAGATTAGGATACAAACAAAATTGTCTGTCTATGCCATGCCAGAGAAGTTTGCAAAGGAAATGTCGTCAAAGCCTTGAATAGTCTCACTAGCCAATGAACCAAGAACCCAGGAACACATCCATGACAGAAGGACAGTGCACTTGGAAACAGCTTTCAGAAACCAGAAGAGCAGTTAGAGCTTGGAGCCAGGAACCCAAAAGGTGACTGTCTCTGACGTCACCCTGAAAACATCAACTCTCTGCCAGCTCTGCAGACAGTGACTTCAGATTTCCTTAGCAACTTTACAACTTGAGCACAGTTCCAATCTGATGACGTCTTTATGATATAGAAGTTCATGTCTCACTGTTTAAAAGTCTTGATCTCAAGAAGAGGCTGGTAAGGAGCCATAGAATCTCTTGGAAATGGGCTCTGGAGCACTTCTTCTGAGCAGTATAAAAATCTTCTTCAAGATCATCTCAGAAGTTAAGTTTCTATGCATATGTTCAATGTAATCAGCCCAGAGGATCACTTGATTTATCCTTGGTTAATGGGTTACCTGCAAAAAAAGAACATATAGTCAATGCTTCATAATATATCTATAATTCTTTAAACACAATTAACAAGAGATAACTGGTACTTGTTAATAGCAAATCTATTGCTGCATTTTAAAGGACTAACATATTCAAGTGTTTCCAACAAATAAAAATATACCAGGTGTGGTTTTTTTTTTTTGTAATTTCACAATATTTTTAGAGACATTTACACAATTTTTCAAATAACTCCAGCTGTGACCAGAATGATCTCAATTGGCAATGATACTCCAGCCCAGAAGATGATTCTGGAACCCTTGTACAGTGCATAGGCTTGGTGGAAATAACCCAAAGATCACAAACACATTATACTGGGACTTAGTGAAGAATTACCTTTGTTCATTGAAATATAATCAGACTTTATTCTCAAGAAAAACTTTGGTATTAGCTCTATAATATTCATTCATAAAATAATTTAAAAATTGAGCATCTTTTTTCTCTTAATTGTACATTAGAAAATTAACTCTTTGTAAAGACAAAAAAGAAATGGAATAAAAAGAAAGGAGAATAGTACAATAATTCATCAATTTTAGAGGTGACCAGAAATACTCATAAAATTGATTAAAGTATTATTGCTAATGATTCTTTGGTATTAAGGAGGTTCATAGAAGCTTTTCATTCTACAGTCCGAAGAATATTTGTATTTTGGAAAAAAAGAATAATAGAGTATCTTAACACACATTATCTCCATAGCATAACTAGACTGATACAGAGAAAAACACACATAGGATGGAGAAAGTAAGGGAGAGAGAAATACCTGCTGTGTCAATGAATTTCTAATTGTATTTTAAAAACAGTGTATTTGAAGAAAATTGCCCAACAGTTATTTTCTAGCAAAAAGTAAATTTTCAAAATTATTATGGACACTTTGGGTTTATTCCATTAAGTACCATTCATTTGTCCTTTATAAAATATTTACAAAAGACTATTGTCTGTTTGCTTGTATTTATTTTCTCATCAACTTTGAAAAGGGGAAATTAAACTACATAATAAGCTAGCTCTAAATTTTGCCTTGTTGCCTGGCATGGTGGTGCACGCCTGTAATCTCAGCACTCAGGAGGTTGAGGCAGAAGGATTGCTGTGAGTTCGAGGGTAGCCTGGGCTACACACTGAGTTGAAGTCTGGTCTGAACTAAACGATGAGACCCTACCTCAAAAAATAAATGCATAAAAAAATTCTACCTTGCCCTAGCTGTCTCACATTATATTCAAATGGAAGATATAAAATCCAAAAATGTTTTCCATGCATGGAGGTAGCCATCTTGTTTCTGCCTCTGGTCCATTAGCTTCCCAAAGAAGAAGCCTTGGCCTGTGTTTTTCAAGTGTCTTACTCCCATGCACAGAGGAACCATGAAAGAAATTGAATTGAGGACTGAAACTTACAAATACATGAAGGGCCTGCTGACCTTTAAAGAGTCTTGGGTCAGGAGAATTCCATTTGGTGGTCATTGTACACAAGTTCTGCAAAAAGCTCCCGACTGAGGATCCGTGTAAGAAGGTAAGAAAGTAATACTACCATTTCTACAGAAATCATGTCACAAATTGCTGATGGCAATAGTTGATGATTATAAGAAATATAGAAACATTATTTTTTGATAAACTTTCTTCAAAAACTTGATGTAACACAATCTGATTTCCACTGGCTAATATTCCCCTACTTTTTCTGAAATTTCTCTTCTTTGTAGGAAAAAAAATATGAAACGTAGTATGGGGGCTGTGTTTCAAAGCTAGTGCTGAAATAACAGGAAAAGGCAGGGGAGGAGATTGAGAAAGAGCAAATGGTTTAGCCTGGATCCAGTTTCAGTGTGGGAAACTGGAAGAACACGGTGGAATTGAGCTGGAGAACTTGGTGAGGTGACTGCATGAAGGCGGGTGGCCCGGCCTCTTGAATTACATGCTGAAATCTACTCATGAGTATGCTAAGTGCATCGCTGCATTTTCACTTCAAGCTAAATACTCGATCTTGTTGTTTTATATAAATCTGAGCCTGACCATTTATATATTTGTTTTATATAATTTTGTAAATAAACAGCCAAATTTACAGTATATTACAGGCTTATGTAACCCAACAAATTTTCCCATCTCTGTAGATTTACACACATACACACATGCACACAAACACACAGCCACACTCACATGCACTCATTTCTATGAACATATAAACACAGATAAGTACATAAACACTATGCTCAGGAATACAGGAATATCATAAATATACACGTCTGTGATGCTGTTTCTGTTGGCTAAAACAATTACTAAGAAAATTAAATTTTAACATAACTAAAGGAAGTAATTGTCTAATAAGAATGAACTGAAGAATAATTAATGTTACTTTTTCTCACATTCAAACTGTACACAGTATTCCTAGATTATTAATCCTAAAAATATCCTACCACATTTTATGAGATGAAGTATAGAGCATAAATCATTTATAATGTCAAAGGAAAGTGTACGATCTTTTTCAGACTTGATTCTTTAACTATCTGATTTTGATCAGAGGACATATTATGGGTCATCTGGCAGAGCTCTGGATTTAGGCCAGTGCCGCAGCAATGTTAACCATACTGCATGTTATCTGTGATTTCTGCCATGCTCAGTTTTCCCATATGTAAAATGATACGGTCTTGTTAAATTCAAGGTTTCTATGAGGATCAAGTATTACAATGTTTATGAAAACATTTAGCTTTTGCAAGACTGGACTATGGGGCTGGGGATTTAGCTCAGTGGCGCTGTGCCTGCCTCACAAGCGTAAGGTCCTGAGTTTGATCCCTGGTACCAAAAAAAAAAAAAGATCTCAAGACTGCACTATGAAATAAAAGTTTTGATTTTGGGTGTTTTTAATGCATAAATCTTAAGACACCCACTAAATGTAGAATGAAAGGATCAAATAACATATTCGATTGTTAGAGGACTTCACTGAAGGAACTCAAAGAAAAGCTAACTAACTACCTCCTTTCAACACAAAATAAACATGAACGTGTATGAACCTGTGTCAGTACTGTCACTTACAACTTCCAGGTTAGCACTGAGTGAAGTGGAACTCCAAAAATATCTGAGAGATAGATTTTAACATACATAAAATATATTTTAACATTTTAAGAAATATGGAAATGAATATGTATACATGTATATTATCATCAATTCAAATCATCTAATATGCAAGAGCAGATAATATTTCAAAATGGAATTATTACATAACACTAAACCAAAAATATCAACACTTTAATGACTTACATGCTTGTTAAATAATGTCTAAGCAAGCTTAATTTAAATCCTAGCATGCTGGTGGTGGGAAAACAAATTAAATGACGCCTTACCCTGTGATGACTATAAACCGGAATGTCCTAGTATGCAAGAATTGCTTAAGCAATATTTATACAATCCAGCAAATTTTAAAAGCTAGTTTTTATTACACTATCTTTTACTGTATTTTAAAAACTTAAATCTACTCTTACGTGATCCATATTATTTTAGAAGAGGGAAAACAGTAAAAGTTTTACCTACTAAGGAGGATATTTATCAAATTTTCAGTAACTTAAAAGCAGAAGGTTGTAATACAATAAATTTTACAGGATGGGAAATAGCAGTTGCCACCATGAATGCACACATCTTCTTGTTCTGAGGGCAATACATATAAAATACTGCATGAGGTAGAGAAACGGTCCTGTGATTGTTATGGTTATGTTTTGAGCTTCATATGCTATAACCACTATCATAGTAAATTTGCCTTTCCAAGGGCAGTATTGTACACAGCTGGTCTTTTCTATGTAAATCTTATTTGTTTGTGTGTACACCAGTAATTTTGGCACATGAAGTTAATGGACTACTGAACACATGCAAATGCACAAATAATAAGAATCGCTTCTCCAGTCACAAGCAGAAGGTATCCTAGCAAGGAGCCATCTGCATCTACAAGCTAATCTTCTAACATTAAACCAAAAGCACTAATATTTTAAGACCAAAATATCCATGTATATTACTCCAATAAATCTATTATAAGGGCCTGATTAAACTTTCCGGGAAACTTATGCTAATATAATGTCTTATATTATTCACCAATTTAGGTTGGGAATATAAAACCAGGTATATGCTATATATAATTTAAATTTGAAATTTAGTGAAGTCAGTTATTTTACATAGTTTCCACTATATATTTTGAACATCATGAAATATCCTCTATCTTCAAGTTAATGAACATTAGAAAGCTAGAAAGAAATTCAAGGGCCAACCTTTCCCCAAGCATAAAATATATTTTTGCAAAATTCTTCAAAAATCACTACAGAAACAGTATGATTTATTCCTTTTTTAAAATTAATTTTATTGGTACATTTTAGGTACATAATATAATGACATTCATCTTTGGAAATTTGCACCTTTACATAATATCTCTTGGCTCTTATTTTTTCAACATTTCCCTGCCCTCCCTTGAACTCCTCCATCCCTCCCCATTTACAAACACTTTATTTCCATTTTTTCATTTTCTCATATTAATTCCATTCCCTCCTTTCCTTTCCCCTACCCATCCCCCTTCCCCTTCCCCTATGTCCCTTTAATTCCTATTTCACATTATCTATTGTAACTTTTTGTCCTTACTTACACTTTCAGTTTCTCACACTAGAGAAATTATTCGGTATTTACATGTGTGTCCTACTTTTTCACTTTAGAGTATCATGACAATATGCATCCATTTAGCTATAAATGTCTCAAATTTCTCATTTTTTATGGTAGTACTATGTTTTATTTTCAAACCACATTTTCTTTATCCAGTCTCCAGTTGATGGGCAATTGGGCTGCTTCCAAGTTTTAGCTATCACAAACTGTGCTGCTATGAACATGAGTGCACATAAATCACTGTGGTATGATTCTTTTAATTCTTTGGGGAAGATACCCAGCAAGTGAATAGCTGAGTGAAATGGGACTTCCAGTCCTGGTACTTTGAGGTACTGATTTCCACAGTGGTTGCTCCA